TCTAGGCTCCAAGTGCACCATATACTTGATCTGGTGTAAAAGAAACAATCGTCTGCATAGGACCATTTTCAAATCAGTGGATTCATTGTCAATTTCATCGATGGAATTGTTCGAAATCGAGCCATCCCTGATTCGAACCCTTCCCTTCCTTAGCCTCTACAATTCTGGTTTACAACTACAAATCATTGATCTCAGTCAAGTTTCCTCTCATCTTCACTAATTTTACCGCTTTCTCCATAGGAGTTGTGATCGTAAAACACTCTCCGTTCTTGACCATTGCTTCATCTCCCGTCATTTAGAAGGAAGTCATATAATCAAAGTAATAAAGTCGAAGACTAGGAAAGAGGATTAGAGCGAAGGAGTTTCGTAAAAGAAAAAAAAGTTTTTGCGATTTTTAGTATTATTTGACTTAGCTATTGTAATGTTATTTGACAAAATTTTCACTAGGTTTTTTTTTTTGGCCTACACACCAAAAATTTCCCATAAACAAAAAAAACTGCATCAGAAATATCATTCTCCTCTCTCTAAACCAAAAGGTAAAGAAAGAAAGAAAAAATGGCTTCCCAAACCAAATATACGGTGCTAGAAGTAGATACCGGAGATCAGTCGCCACCGTCCTCCTCCGCCACTCCTCGTCGGTGGTGGTCACGACCAATAGTGACTCTTACGGCATCTAATGATCGTCCAACCACTTTCACGGAGAGCATTGCTTTCGTTACACCATGTTGCACCGGCATATTCACCGTCGTCGCCTTCTTCTACATCTTATTACTCATCGACCAATCTCTCTCCCACGCCAAATTCTCCATCCAATCCATCGCCGTCTCTCCCTCAGACGTCGCCACGTGGCACGTTGATTTCCTCGTTAACAACCCGAGTACGAGATATTCCATGTACTACGACGGTAATGACGCTTCCGTGAGGCTCGGTCCTTTAAACGCCGCTGTTTTAAACATTTCTCGAAGACGCGAGGCTAGAGATGTTACGGTCATGTCGTTGGCTTTTGCTGCCGAGGAAGGGAGTGGGAACGACGTCGTTTCGCTTGGCGTCAAACTCAGGGCCATGCACAAGCGTTACGTTAATTATGATGAAGCTGGACACTTAGATGTACGATGTCAAAATCTTACGCGAAGCCATGAGAACGTTAATATTCACAAGATTATATGCCAATCTTCTTTCACACCTTTGGAGAGGTTTTGGTGAACTTGTTTGAACTAAGTAGTTGATTAATTAGGCTTCTACTGTTTCCTCGTATTCTTTACTTATTACACAATTAAGTTTTCTTTTTTTGGCCTCATCTTCCATAAGTTACATTAAGGGATAATTGATCTCTTCTTTGTACTGCTTTTAACCAATAAAATGTGGAGTAGTTATGATTACCTAGTTGTTCCGATTTTTGTGTAAACAAAGAAACGTAGTCCCGATTTCCTTTAAATAAGGAAAATATATTATAAACAAAGTCAACCTAATTATCTTTGCTTGCGGATCTTTAGAAAACAAACCTTAAACTATATAATAAAGTAAAGAAAAATCTATCCAGAATTATAATTGCAAATTTTGTCTATTTATCAAAAACCTAACTAGGTTAATCATTTCATGAAGCATTAAATTTTTTTAACTATGGCAACTTCTCAATGTACCATTTGTGACATCGATCGGCAACAATATCAATGTCCCCGGCAAACTTCGACCAGCGTGATGGAGCCCTTGGAGATGACTCCAGCTTTTTGCTGCGGTTGCTACTCTTTCTCCTTCGTTCTTGCACTTGTCTTAGTTGGTGTCATCATCCATGCCAATCGTGTCGTACAAGGTTGCTACTTGGAGCTCTTTGCCAATTCCATCTCCCTCTCAAACGCAAACGTTTCAAACGCGGATTCACTACAAGAAAACAGGGTCGTTTCCGACGGTTTGGTCCGTCGGTTCTATCTCGTCGGAAATAAATATCCGTCGGAAATCCGTCGGAAAAACCTGACGGATTTCCGACGGAAAAGGGATAACTGGAATCTGTCGAAATTCCGTCGGAAGTCCGTCGGATTCCAATTGCCGACGGATTTCCGACGAAAGTAGTCACCGACGGACTTCCGACGGAAAGAAATACCGACGGATTTCCGACGACGGTGGTGACCGACAGATTTCCGACGACATCTTTTACCGACGGATTTCCGACGGACAGAAATTCCGACGGATTT